GGCCGGCCAGGTGAGACCGCAGACCTCGCCGTGCAGACAAGGACCAGTTCTCCGATAGTGATTCGAGGCCGTAGCTGCGGCCGGAAATAGGTCAACCCTTCTCCCGCTTCTTGTTGCTGACTTGCAGTTGTTGTGGTACCAATGGACGCGATGTTGGCAGGACTCAGCCTCGCCACGGATGCTGTGAGATCAGCCAAGGTTCACAGCAGACAGCGCAGCAACGGATAACGGCCCGCTTCTTCTATGTAAGTACATGATCTGAGTTGTGCGCAGGATGTGCACAGCTTCCAATCGCCCAAGCGAAGGCTCGTCACATTGACGACGTTGACGAGATGAAAAGTGGATAGGCTGCGACAGATGTCAAACAAGTTTTCGCTCAGCGGCAAAAGGCCAGAATTAGCAACGCTGTCCACTGTACGCGCTGTACGCGTGAAGTCGATTGCCGCCGTACAGCCGAACTGCAAAAGTCGGACGTGTCGAAGTCTGTAGGATGTTTGCACGCGCAGCGCGTGGTGTGGTGAGTGATGGATTGGGGTTAGTGTGCAATGGTGATGATGCAGGTCACGTGCTGCGCGACTTCCTCGTGCCTTTGAGCTACGTCAGCGGGGTACTGCCCCACTAAACCCTCGCACTGTTCGCGTACCCGATGTTGGCAAACAGCGGCTCCTTCTCCGGCGTATGGCTGTGAGCTAGAAGTAGGGCGAGGAAATAGTCTACCGTTACCAAGAAAGAACTGATGCTAATCCAGCGCTACCAACTATGTCTCTGCAACGCTACCAACTATCCAGTTCAGAAAGCAATTATGGGAGAGGGGCAGCCGCGGCAGCACATGCCCCTCTATCCAAGTTGTACAGCGTATCTCGCTCGTAGCGGGGCAGTGTTCGTCCCGCGGCAGAAGATCTGGAACCCGTACCCACCTTAAGCCGTGCCCAGATGACGCGAATGCCATGCAAAGGCGCCAGATTACCATCAATCACATATAGCGGAAGTGCTGATCTACCTATCGTGGCGGGCTGTGGCGTCTGCAAACTGGTATACATCCTGGCAGGAACCCCTGTAGACCCTGCCAACCGTACATGTGAAGGAGCAAGTAACAGGGCCCACTGAGTACACGGTACGACTGCTGCTGCCCTCTCTCACCCACACCCTTTGCGGCTACGGTGCCTGCCTCGCGAGGCATGACGTACGGGTTTCGTAGCACGTCACTGCAGCCTGGACGATGCTGAAGGATAGTATATAAGACTGCTTCTGCTTCCCTTTGCTCGAACCTTCATCACACTCAACTCCAATCAACTCAACTACAACTACCACTTTCAACCCTCAACCAACCAACCAACCAACCACCAACTACCAACATGTCTGACAACCTCCGCAAGGGTCTCGGCGAGCAAGCCTCCGAGAAGAGTAAGCTTACTGCCTTCACCCAACTTCTGTGCACCATCTGACAGTCTCTCAGTGACCCCCGACTCCCAGAAGTCTACCACCGAGAAGGCCAGCGAGAGCCTCACTGGAGCCGGTGACCGCGTTGCCGGTATGGTCCAGCCTGGTACGTCTCTTCCACCACTCACCACTTACCACCCGGCCATCGACTAACATACACACCAGAGGGCCAGAAGTCCACCGGACAGAAGCTCGGTGACGCCACCCGCTCAGGCGGCGACGATGCCTCCGCCCAGGGCCAGGGTGTCATGAAGCAAGCCCAGGACGCTCTCGGCAACGCTGGCCAGAGCATCTCCGACACCCTCTCCGGCGCCACTGGCCAGAAGAAGTAAAGCACTCGCTTCCTTCTTGCTGTTGCCTGGTAGCCACGATACCTCCTCCTCTTTTACGACCATGAAGACCTGAGAATGGACGAACATGATACTGCGATGGATGGAACATACCCTTTCGGCGTGAAAGCCGCATATCTATATACCCTTCCATGAATGAAATAACAATGATCAACAATCTGTCTTCTGCTGTGACATGCCTTGGCTGTTCCTTTGACCTTCAGTCGCAGCTTCAACCGCACATCAACTGCCCTGCTGCTTACTCTCTGCGAAGCAATTAGAATTCTCACCGCTTAATGGTAGCACTCACCTTATCGCTGAATGCTGCACTCTCACAAATACGAGCAGGATGTGGAATCTGGGAACGAAGACCGGACGTTTGAAGGAATGAGTCGTGTATGATACACTCAGTTCTCATAGCATGCTATAAATCTTCATCTTCCACCTCCTCCATCTGCACATGCTTGAGTGTATTCTCCGCCGTCTTGGCCTCGTCAGATATACCCTGCATCTGCCCCTTGGCCTCAGCAGCCATCATCTTGTACTCTGCTTCCTGGACCGCAGCCTCAGCAACCTGCTCTGCCATATCACCCGCCGACGTGTTCTGTAACCTCAAGAAAGCATCCAACTCCTCATCTTCGGCCGTTCGTGGAATCTTCTCAGCACCTTCCTCCGTGTCATCCTTCTTCTTCCCCTCATTCATATACCCTCCTTCCCGCAACTTGTCAAACTCATCGGGTTCGAGTAACCGGCCCTCGCCCTTTGCCAGCTTGACCTTCTGCGCCACAGACGCAGGCATGAATCTTGTTGCTTCCTTGCGCAGATCGCGGACCTGGGGTGCGGCTTCGTAGACGATGGTGGGTTTCTTGGGTTCGGCGGGCGCTGCGGCTTCGTCTTGCGGGTCTTGGGGTAGGTATTTCCGTGGTATGGGCGGTGGTGTGTCGCGCGGCATGGGGATGCGCTTCACGTCGTCGTCCGTGTCGCTGCTGTCGTCGTCTTTGCGCTGTCCGTCGCGCGATCGCTTGCCTAGAATGCCGCCGCCTCTGCCTCCTCGGTCGCCTCCCCGCCCTCTATCGTCGTTGTTGTATTGCCGCTCTGGCTTGAAGACGGGCGCTTTGTCGCCGAGTGCTGCGCGCGCCTTGTTGACGGCGGCGAGATCCTTCTCCAGCTCCTGTAGCCGTTGTCGCTCATGTGGCCGTATTGCGCCGCTCTGGTCGAGTTCTTTGAGGTTGTCGATGTCGCGTTGTATGCGGTTGGGGTTTCGGCGCGCGAGTTTCTCGTTGCGCTGCGTCTGGAGGTTGGCTTTTTGCTTGCGGATCTGCTTCTGCTTCTCGGCCTTCTTGGCTTCTTGCACGGGGTTGTAGTTCTTCTCTTTGGCCATCTTGGCGGTCGAAGGCAGAATCGGGTACGAAGGAGGTTTGTGAGGTCGTTGGCCGAGACAGCGCTGTAGGGAAATTGAGAATCTGGGGACTGACGTAGGTCCGTGCTTGAGCCGCGGCGCGTCGCGAATGTCGTCTGCGATGGCACTCGAACTTGTTCAGTGACGCCAATTCTTGTCAACTCTCTCCACCACGAGAGCGGAACATCGGTGCCATGTTCATTCCCAGAGCGCTCAGGCTCAAGGGCATTCGCGAGAAGCCGCGGCCCCAGCCTGCCCAAGCTGCCTCCAAAGCGCCAGCCGAGGGTGACCAAGACGATGCGCTGGTGGAGGCGATGCAGAAGACAAGAACCAGCTCACCTACTGACCAGCCAGAACAGACTGACCTCAAAGCTACCAAGCCTGGTCCCAGATTTACTACCAAGCCCGTCACGCCAGAGTACATTGGTCAGCTTGCTGCTGGCATCGAGCTCATCTTCACCGACTATGCCCACCAGGAAGAGCAGCGCGCCAGGTGGCTGCAGGACCGCTACAGAATCGTCGATGGCGAGGACAAGTGTATACATACCCAAGTCTATGTCCTCCCCCATAACTGACTTGGTATACAGACATCCACCTCACCGCCATCCTCGAACACCCCAACATCTCCTCCCTGAAGCCCGAAGCCTCCCAGATCCTCCTTCAGCAAGCACTCCGCGACCACCCCTCCAAGATGCTAGAGCTCTCGAGCAATGGCTACCACGTCCGCCGCAAGCCCTCTTCGTACCCTCCCAAATACCTACCCCACAACTCGTTCGAAGTCACCGATGACGACGGCCTAGCATTCTGGGACCAACGCACAATCTACGTCGAGCCACACCTCCGCAACATCTGTCCTACGCCAGCAAAGGTCGCATACTGGCTTGCGGAGCATGGCGAGTTGCGACCCAAGTGGCTACCCATACAAGCAGTCCATACCCTGTGGAACAGCTGCGCTTTCGTGGTCCTCAGTGGGAGCGTAATGCACGAAGATGTTTGGCAAAAGTGGAGAGCAGCAGACAAGCCTGATGACTGGAAGATCATGACCAAGGTCGAGCATACCAAACGCACAGCTGAATACGTTGCGTTGCTCAAGGCAGAGAACCCTAGAGGAATGCGCAAAAATGTGGTCGACGAGAACGAGCTGCCTCCAATCGCACGACCAGCAGTGCTTCCGATGGCGTATACAACCAAAGCTCCTCCTGAAAAGGCCCTTCAGGTTCCTCCGCGAAAGCCAGAAGAAGTAGCCATGGACATCACTGCGGCTGCAGAAGAACCACCCGTCAAGCACAAGCGGAAGAGACGAAAACCCAAGAAAGCCAACAAACCTGCTGGTGGAGACGACGCCGATGGGGATGATGCTGAAGGTGCCTATGATGAGCCGAGTGCAAAACGCAGAGGTTGAAAGATGACGCTCATATCATGACCTTCCCATGCTCACGGCGCAAGGACTCGTAAATCGCGAGCAAGCATTGCACGTCTCGATCAGTATCTGATGAGCCAAAGCTGAATAGCCTCACGATGGCGCCCAGTAGCACGGCTGCTGTTGATTACCCCGACTTACCCCGCTTACTCGCTAGTACTGACATACCAGGCTTGCCGAAGCCACAGATGGATCGACAGCCAATCCAGACTGGAACGAGGGAGCCGAGGAAACGCGTCGCTATAAGAGGGCGATTGTGCGGCTATTCTAGCTAGAGTATATATAACCGAATACACGAGAAGAACGTGTTGTAGTACCATTGACCGCAGTGGCCAATTCTGCTTCGTTCGTCGGGCTTTGTTAGTTGAATTCGCATACATTGTGTTTGAGTAGGAAGGAACCTCGCAGTAAAATGGCTACCGTTGTAGACAAGACGGCTGATGGAATCATCTATCGTTCCGAGAAAAGCTACCCGATACCTGACCTCGATGTACTAACGCTTCTATTCGGTACGCCCACCACTGTAAAAGCACCTAACACCACTCCAACAACCTCCTCGACTAACAACGCATCCCTTGTAGACTCCGAACACAGCCTAGCCAAACCAAACACCCCCCTCCACGTCTCAGCCGCAGACCCAAGTCTAATCCTAACCACATCGCGCGCCCGCCACCTAACCCAAGCCACCTCAGCCGCCCTCCGCAAGCACTTTGGTATCGGCGCCCATGGCCCAGGAAAAGACGTGTGCTCCATTATCTCAACAGGGCACTACCTCCTCCCTGTTCTCGCGTATGGAATCATCGGCGCAGGCGGTATCTTCTCCGCTGCCTCCGCGGCAAGCACAGCCAGCGAACTAGCAAAGCAACTACAAGGTGCCAGCTCGAAGATTCTCATCACCTGTCAAGCTACCCTGGAGACTTCGATCAGAGCTGCAGAGGATGCCGGGTGGGGTCAGGGTGGAGGCGGGCGCGTACTGCTTATGAGTGAGGGGAGGGAGTGGACGTTGAAGGTTGTTGGTGAAGATGGGAGGCCCGGGAAGGATATCGTTGATGAAGGAGATTTGCTGCCGTGGACGCGGATTACGGATAGGAAAGAGTTGGAAGAGAGCCTGATAGTACTGATTTATAGCTCTGGGACCACTGGATTACCTAAGGGAGTAAAGCTTTCGCACCGGAATGTTGTGAGCCAGACTGTTAGTACGGGGGATATGATGAAAGCGTGGGTGAAAGAGAAACGTCCGGGTTTTGAATACCGGACAATCGCCCGTACGTCATGCTTCCTCATACGATACTGCAATTGACATAGATGTCCGCTGACATCCCATCCCACACCAGACCTCCCCACCGCCCACATAGCCGGCGTACAAGGCTACCTCATAAACCCCTTCTACCTGGCCGGAACCGTATACTGGATGCCCCGCTTCGACTTCCCATCCTTCCTCACCTACAACGCCCGCTACCACATAACCTTCTTCTTCACCGTTCCCCCCATCCTTTTGCTAATCGCCAAATCCCCCTTGGCAACCACGCAATTCGCATCCCTAGAATTCTGTGTCTCGGGAGCCGCGCCACTAGGAAGAGACCTTCAGTATGCAGCTAGTCAGAAACTTGGGGGTGAGGAGTGTTTTGTGGATCAGACCTGGGGCTTGAGTGAGACGACGGGGAGTGCGACGATTATGACGCCTGGGATGCGGGATGATACGGGGAGTGTGGCTATGTTGTTGCCGAATATGCGGGCTAGGCTTGTTGATGATGAGGGAGGAGATGTGGAACAGGGGATGGCTGGGGAGGTGCTGGTGAAAGGGCCAGTGGTGTGTAAGGGGTATTATCAAAATGAAGCCGCCGACAGAGAGGCTTTCACCCACGATGGTTGGTTCCATACGGGTGATATCGCGGAGTTCAGGAATGGTATGTTCTATATCGTGGTAAGTCGGGGCTGGACACAATGCAGGTGAGGCATATACTGACTTCATACCTCTACCTATGCAGGATAGGAAGAAGGAGTTGATAAAGTACAAGGGGTTACAGGTCGCGCCTGCGGAGTTGGAAGCCATGCTGCTCAGTCATCCGCTCGTGCTGGATGCTGCGGTTATTGGTGTGTTGACGGATGATGGGACGAATGAGGTGCCGAGAGCATACGTTGTCGCTGATAAGAGTAAGATTGGAGAGAAAGATATTATTGAATTTGTCAAGGGGAAGGTTGCTGGGCATAAACAGTTAAGGGGAGGTGTAAGTAGCCTCCACGCTCGAACTGTATGTGAGACAAATGCTGACTTCGTGTACCCGTTTTAGGTGTTATTCTTGGATGAGATTCCCAAGAGCCCGGCAGGCAAGATTCTTAGAAAGGATTTGAGAGCTTTGGCGGAGAGGGAGAAGGGTGCGAAGCTGTAAGAAAGGAATATATTTGACCAGATCGAGCCGATACCAAGCCCAAGCCCCAGTCAACAGCGCACTTCATTTTTGCTGTAAGACAGGGTTGAAGAATACATCGTACTTTTGAGGGTACAGTACCCAGGTGGTACTGCGGAATAGGGAATACCTCCCGAGGCCATCGCTGACTTCATGAAATGCAAAAACTTCCTCTTCGATCACCGAATCTCACTCAAGCTTTGGAATTGAATTGTTTTTGACGCTCGCCTTATCGCTGCCGTGCGATGCAGGTGTGTCCCGCGGGCAAAGAAAGACACGTTCCAAGGTTGCGGGAAGCCCGTCGCCGGCATTCCGAGGACCCTTGTTTACCGACAGCTTCGGGTTGATCACCCACACGTTCGGCGATCAGCTTCTCTTAAGACTTCCTGCTTCGATCCTGATCATCGCACTTCAAACAACCATCATAGCGCTGATCGGCTATACTATAGGCGTGGTTGCTACAGGTGTAACAGCCGCTCTTGTACCATGCACCTGTCCAGCCAACCGAACGCCTGCCTTCCGTTACGCGGACGATGCTCCGCGCCTATCAACACAGACTGGCCGTGTGTATCCACTTTCAGAAAGGGATGCCTCATAGCGTACTTCGACTGGTCCGGCACAGGTTACCAGCTGCCTTAACGAGGCATACACGTGGGATTAGTAGGACTGACCGTGGTACCGCCGCGTATGACATCACTAGAAGGAAACACCGTGTACCTTTGTCTCATCCCACCAGCCTAAGCGCACCACGTCTCGCTCCACCGATCAGAACGATGGCTCGCATAGCGGTATTTGCTCATAATGATTTCATTTTTCCTCTAATTAACGTTCTGTTCTAGCAACAAAACCAAAGGATCCAGGACATCCTCCCAACCCTTCAGAACGAGGCAGATCAAATCGACCAGATTGCAAAGATAAGAGGATGGTTCCGTCCCAAAGAAGACAGCGCGTACTACCCATTGATTCAAGACTACCTCGATGAGAAGATCGACGTGAAAGAAGCGACGGCGCGCATCCTCGGACCGATTGATGAAAAGATCAAGGAGTCCAAACTCGACGACGTCGACTTCATGGACCTATGGACCAGCATCATTCACTCAGCAAGACGATCAACATTCCGCGACGGCGCCCGAACGCAGCACCACCAACTCATCGAGTTACTCGCCGCATTCAAGGAGCACTCAATACCGGACAACAAGGAGTATGACTACCTCTACAAGGAAATGACCGACTTTGGCATGGCCTGTCGTGAGGCCTTCAACGACGCGCCGGCCGCTCACGAAGGCTTCATCGAGACGGAGGTGCAAGCTTGGACGAACATGAACTACTTCTACGCCTTTGTAGCAAGGGAACATATCTACGATCTCTCCATGTACGCCATCTTCGCGCTACGGGAAGCTCTCGAGACACCTCCCATCGACGAACCCATGTCGACGGCCAACCAAAAATACGACGCAAACGTTCCCGCAGCTGCAGCTTGGATAATAGCCTACGGCCACGACCTCTTCCGCATGGAAAAAGATCTCACGCCCACCGATAAAAAGCAAGGCAACCCTGGACGCGGCGGCGAACTCTGGAAGGGCAAAAGCGAGTTCAGCAAAGAAAGATGGGCGCTCTGGAAAGAACGGTTCGCAGCGATTGCGGAGATGGAGGGTGTCAAGGAACGAACGAGGCTCGATGCCAAGGATGCGATAGAGGCCATGGAGAGGAGCCAGACGTATGAGCTCATGAGGTAACTTCCTACAAGTCTGACGTGCTGATGTGCATTTGGCAGTTTCATGTTTGCGGAGGAAGTGGTGCGCAATGGAGATTTGCAGCGCCTTGGAGGAGGGTTTCCACAATCGTTTGAGCGGGGACCGAAGCGCCAGAAGAGAGAGGATAGTGGGAATGCATGCTGACCGCGGATGTGTCGCTATCACAGTGTGAGTCGAGACGGGTTATGGGATACGACTTCAGGGTCACAGTATCTTTGCTAGGACCTAAACATCGAATGCATTCCTCTACGACTACCCCTAGGTCTATGCCTTCGTAGTCGCCCCCAAAGCCTCCACTCCCGCATTCGCAACACTCAAATCCTGCTCTACACTCCCTCCACTAACACCCACACCTCCAATCAACTTTCCCTCAAGGTAAATCGGTATTCCGCCCCCAAAAGCGATCAACCCACCATTCGTGTTCTGCACATCATAAAGCGGCGCACCAGGCTGCACCGCCGCATACAAATCCGCACTAGCATACAACCCATTGAACAGCACAGCCGTCCTAGCCTTCTTCTGCGAAATATCGATGGAGCCGATGAATGCGTTGTCCATGCGGTGGAAGGCGACGAGTAGGCCGGAGGGATCTACGATGGCGATGTTTTCGGGGATTTGGAGGTTTGTGGCGTTGGAAACGGCGGCGTCGATGACGGTTTGTGCTTGCGAGGCGGAGATGACGTAGCGTTGAGAGGGTGTGGTGCCCATGCCGTTTGTGGTGTTCATTGTTGCGGCGGCGGAGGTGAGGGTGAGGAGGCTGAGTGTGGTGCTCAGGAGGGTGGAGAGGAAGCGCATTTTAGTTGGGGGTAGGGGTGTTAAGACAGGCTTTGTCGATAGTGATGTTTATTTTTTCGATCGTCCCTGATGGAGGTTTTGGAGATGTGGGTAGGTGGGTAGGACGCGTGTAGAAATGGTCGACTAATAGGTAAATTTGAGATTTGTGTTGTAATATCTTCTTGTCTGCCGTTCCGTCCATTCATTACATACTCTGCTTATATAGGTACCCGATTTGGTTATCCCCTCCGACCTAGAACGTGTTTAATGCCTTCTCCACTTCTGCATCTTCGTCTGCAGATACAAGCCGAACCTCGGTCGTAGATTAGGCCTTCCATTCAGGTTCGAGGAAATTTCTTCAGCCGCAGCTCAGCTTTGTACAAAAGTATCGATTGCTGACATTGGCGCATTCTAGCTGCCAGAATGGCGGCGGTCTAGTCCACCGGAGGCAAAAGATTTCAGGGTGTAGTGTGCGGGGGCATGAACTCAAGTCGTGGGTCGTTTCCGCTTGTTAGACCTGTTTGGGCTTGGTGGTTGAAGATGGCGGCCGGCCCGGGCGGTTTAGTGTCGGATGGCAGGGACCGATCCGATGCTCTTCTCCCTCACTGTGGTTGCGCGGCTGCGACGACTTGACTCGCATTGTGCGACGTGGGTCTTTATGTTAATAGTGAATGATAGTGGCGTGAGATGGGCGGGCGAGGTATTTGAATTCTTCCATGACAGTTGTGGAACGTTCCGGGAATAAGAATAAGACCTTCAAAATTTGATGCACCAAAGTAGTGCATCTCTCGCTGCGACGGACATGTCGAAATGATTACTCCTCGTACGAGCAGTGCACGTCGGTGACATGTCGTGCTAGTCGCTCATCTGGTGTCTCTCCCGCTGGCATGTGCTCGATGCGTACGCGACATAGCCTGCATTCTGGTCTCTTTTTGCGCTTCTCTTCCATGAACTCAATCCACGCATGTCGGATCTCATCATCTATTCTCTCTCTCGCCTCTTCATCATCAATCAGTGACAAGAGTACGCCAATTTTCTCTTTCATGTTCTCAAACTCTGCGGCCTCTTTCGGTCCAGTCTTGACCCATTCACTGCATATCTGGTTCTGCACAGGGGCGACTTTGAAGCGCTTGAGATCGCCCGTCATAATGGTCGCGAAATGAGTTGCGAGATCTGAGGCATAGCGCACGAGGTGGAATTGTAGCTGCTCTCCCGTCTCCCAAAAGAGATTGTGGCTGACCCACAGATCCATGTGCTTGATGCGGTACATGAATTGCGCCGCGGTTGCTAAAGAGAAACTACACGATGTTGATGTCTCGGTACAGAATATCATGTGGGACCAGTATGGTGGGAGCAGGAGGGTCTGTCCTGACTTCTGAATGATTGCAATGCCGTGTTGCATTTCCGAGAGAACACCCAGCGGAACGTGTGAGGTGTTGCTGTCATGCATACCTTCGTACGCTTTGCGGAGCAGGTCTAGACTGGCTTGCAGTGGAGGGAAAGTGAACCATACTTTCGAGCCGGTCAACAGCGTCGTAGAAAAGTGGTGTTCGTAGTACTCCAATTTGAACACCTCGCCTGCTGGAGCAACAGTCATCTGGAACTCTGACTGACCCAGTACACCGTCCCCTTCCCATCCTGGTATCCAGCGCTTCTTCTGGTTAAAGATAGGCGACTGCATATGGACAACCGCGCCAGGCTCAGAATATCTAGGATTGCCTATGTTGTCGAGCAAGCGCATGACTGCATTTGCATCGTCTTCTGGCGAGCCACGCGAAGGTGCGAAACGGAAGTGATTCTCACCTCCAATGTCGCTTTTGATCGCTTTCTCGACTGCGGTAGGGCTGGGTAGCGATGTGAAAGTGAACGGCAACTCTCCGTTAAGGTTCGGCGTGTCCCACTGAGATGGACCAAAGACACCATCTCTTTCCTTGCGGAAGTGTCTTAGCTCGTCCTCGTTCAATGGATGGATACGGCCGCCTTGAGCCATCTCGAAGGCGAAGGCAGCTCGGTGATCAGATTGATGTCGTTCAAGCTCGGCCATGACATCTACCAGATCTTGGTCGTGTAGAGTTGAAATGGATACAGCTGTATTTGCTCGTGCAGACCGTGTCGTCGGTGCAGTGACGAGACGATGCGTTGCCGGGTCAAACGTTGTATCGCCATGCTCTCGTAACTGCATACCGGAACCGGCGGACGCAACCGATACTTTGTGTGATGAAGGATCCATGACAAGTAACATCGGGAAGAACTTTCTGTTGCTGATATTGCTGAAGTTTTATATGTACTCGGTGATTGGAACAATATCGGGCTGTAAGTTCATGAGTATTCCAGGCCTTACAAGACAAACGGAGAGCCCACGGTGGAATCAGTACCGAATATTCTTCGCGAGCTGTTTCACTCATTTCTCTGCTAAACTTGCGGTGTAGTGGCTAGGACGTTGATGGCTGCTTCAATGATCTTCTGATGGTCTTACCGCCCACAGTATTGCGGTCTGACGAATCCGGTAGTGACGAACCTTCTCGAGCTGTTTTGACGGTGGCCCTTGCTATACACATTAGCTTTATCAGCTAGATCACATCAGCATGAAAGTATGCGAGTGCCTTCCGGATGTACCAAGATGCCAAGAATGACGTAGAAATCATGGCGTGTGGGTGGGGCGGACAGAGTGAAGGATGGATTAGGCATCAACACAAACGCCGTGAACGATGCCGTCATAGGCTCTTCTACTATCGCGCTGAAGGTGTATCACCAGGTTCTTCGTCGATATCTAGGGTCATAATCTAGGTGATGTTCAGTCCGCGCTGGTCGAAGTGGAAGGACCGCAGTAGCCTGAGCATCTTCATATCCAGTGGTAGAGAGAGACGTGGGCAAGGCATCTGCGGAACTATCGGACGATATCGGACTATTCGGTAACAGGTTCGCCGATGAAGAAAGAGAATGCATTCGCTTGTGGTGAGTGATTGCTGTCCAGGCGGCCGTAAGACTGAATGCGATGAGAGAGGTGGGTTTACAGCTGTCGTACAGATGCGTAAAAGTGATCGACAGATGCCTAGCTTTCACAAGTACCACTGCGCACTTTGCAATGAAGAATTACTGTCGCGTTGAGGTTGCATCGCGGTGTGTGGGTGGGTGAAAGGCGTTTGGTGAGGCGCGCACCACCTGGGCAGCCACCGCGCGCGCGCCAAGAGACTAGCCTGCCCAGGCTTAGCCCGCCCACAGGTCTCTTCCGGAGTTGCAATATTGAATTCGCGACCGACGACAACCCCACGACTAACACACAGGTATCACGCCAACACCGCCAACATGCGTACCTACGACGATTCCTTCAGCGGTCAAAAGATCTACCCGGGCAAGGTGCGTTACATTGCCCCTCCACGTCTCGCCGCTCGCCCCTCAGACGTCGAAATCCGGCCATCGCGACGGCGACAACGCGAACACGTGGCGGACGAGGATGGAACACTACAATGGGTCGGACATTCGCTGATGGCATAAACAGGGCAAGCTCTACATCCGTGGTGACAGCAAGATCTTCCGCTTCCAGAACGGAAAGACCGAGTCCCTTTTCCTCCAGCGCAAGAACCCTCGCAAGATTCACTGGACCACTCTCTACCGAAGGGCGCACAAGAAGGGTATCTCTGAGGTTAGTCGCCGCGAACTCATATACACGCCGCTGGGACATGTTTGAGAGGCAGTGAACTATGACATCAGTCTGTACTGCGGACAGACTTGGGCATGGCAAACATCCTCAGCGGCGATGTTGCTCTCATCGCAACATGCATCTCTACTCCCCCATCGCGAACTGCGCTAACCACCATATCTCCAACAGGAAGTCGCCAAGAAGCGTACCCGCCGCACAGTCAAGCACCAGCGTGCCATCGTCGGTGCCTCGCTCGACGTAATCAAGGAGCGCCGCAGCCAACGTCCCGAGGCCCGTACCGCCGCCCGCACCGCTGCCATCAAGGAGGGCAAGGAGAAGAAGGCCGCCGCCGAGTCAGCGAAGAAGGCTGAGAAGGCCAAGAACGCCGCCGCGTCCGCACGAGGCAACGCCGCCAAGGTCAGCAAGCAGGGTGCCAAGGGTGCCGCACCAAAGGTGCAGGCAAGGACTCGTTAAGCTGGGTTCGATATGGCGTGCATAGTCTGGGTTATGGCTGGTTTTTCGGGATGACTCGGTGTTCCTTTACTCTCTGAATCTCTCTTCCGAACAA